ATTTTTTACATAAATATATTGTTTTTCTTTGTTTAGTCAATAACTGTAGGATATATAGGTGTGGAGCAACCTTCATTTGGTTACATTCGATTTGTTTTATTATTGTATTTCTCTTAATGTATAATGCAGATTTTGGTAAACAAGTTACAGAATCATATCAATTCCTTCCTACTATGCCAAACGAGAATGGTTTCTCTTGGTATGGTGGATTTGCTGTTGCAACTCCAGCACCCATTTACCCACAAAATATAATTGCAACAACTCAAAATCAGGAAAAAAAAAAGAAGAACATTTCAAAACAACAAACGCCAAATCATTTAATTAATTTCCCTAGTCTGCACAATTTAGTTTCCTTGTCTTTAAGAAATTTCTTTTTAACACTTTCTTTCCTTCTAGTAGGATCTTACTCTTTAGATAATTATGACAATATAACATTTAAGGTGACCTTATCAAAACGAAGACAAACAGTATGTATCTGTCAGCAATTGAAGAAATGTCAAACTACCATTTTCTTATTCACCAAATTTCTATTGAACCACCATCTCCAGTTTTCTCTTGAGGGAGAAGAAGAAGAAAAAGGGAATAGCAACAGTGGGTATGGATTCATTAAGTGAGAGAGCAACCCTGATGCGAGAGTCCCTACAGAAGAGCCAAACCATCACGGACAATGTCATCTCCATACTTGGTTCCTTTAACAGTCGCCTTTCCGCTCTCGAGACTACCATGCGTCCGACTCAGGTACCATTTTAACTCTTTTCACTTTAGTTTCTACTTCAAATTAATCCCGTTATATATCAGACACTATAAAACGAGATTGACTAGTTCTTTTCGTTACAGCTGACTTTGATATTTTGCTTTTAGAATAAGATGTAGTTGATTGTACAAGTGTCATGACTCAGCTCACTATTGATATTATTCCTTTCGGCCTCTCAAGCCTCACGATTTTAAAATACATCAATAGGGATTAATGGGTGTACCCAACATCTTTGCTATGCTTTATCAATGTAGGATTTGTCTGGAAGTGTCACAGTAAGATTCAAGATCTTTGGGCAACTAAATATTAGATTAATGTAATTGGGTTTGTTTGATTTTTAATTAGATTAGTCACATTTAGCTAATTGATTGGTTCATCCTACTACTTGATTTTGACGGCATGTTTTTTATATATGCTTTTGCTTCATCTGGGATTTACAGATTAGAACACATTCTATAAGGAAGGCTCATGAGAATATAAATAAGACTTTAAAGACTGCAAAGATTATTTTGGAGCAATTTGATCTTTCTCGTCAGGTTAGTTTCAAAGGTTGTTGTTATTATCTTTCTTTTGGTTGATATTTACTGTTTAGATGAAGTCTTGGTTGGATCTTAGCTGCAAATCATGAACAAATTCATTAATGCATGTTTCATTGTTTTGATTCTTCATATGTTAATACTACCTAGTAATGGTACAAATGAAGCTGTCTTTAACATACATTTTGTATGCCATAGAAACATGTGTCATCTTGATTAGTATTGTTAGAAAACAGGGACTTAAGTAGTGTTAGAAAACATGTCTTTAGCATTCATTAATTTCATATGCCATAGAAATATGTATTATCTTTGCCTAGTTATGTATTTTATGTATCTATGACTAGTCGGTGGCTTAGCATACTTTTTCTCATTTATCTTTTTAGCTTTGGACTTGCAACTTTGTGGTTTCCCTATTTGTGGCTTAATTTATCTAACTGCCCTAGTTTCTAATTTTATTACTATTCCAATTTGTAGGCAGAGGTTAAAATACTCAAGGGGCCACATGATGACCTAGAAAGTTATCTAGAAGCACTTGATCAGCTAAGAAACTCCAATTACTATTTTAGCAGCAAGAAAAGCTTTAGGAATAGTGATGTTGTGGTTAATCATGCAAACAGTTTACTTGTTAAAGCTATTTCAAAGCTACAAGACGAGTTTAAGCAATTATTAACATCATACAGGTTTGTATTCATTGATTATTCATTCTTTTGTGTATGGTCTTTTGATATGCTAATATTTCCCTTTCCACATCCATAGTTGACACTTGTGTGAAGACGTAGGACATTTAGTAGCTAAGCCTTGTGTAACAGTTGCATATTTTAGCTTCAATTTCTTGCAACTAACAACTGATCATGCTTTTGATGGTCAATTAACATACTGATCATACTGATCTTTTAGCTTCTCAATAATTTGCATCTTGGATACAATTAATTGTCTCATGAAATGTTATATATTTTATTTAATCTTGAACTAAAAGTATCATTTCTTTGTTCTTTTCGATTCAAATTTCAGCAAACCAATCCAACCCGATTGCCTTTTTGATTGCCTCCCAAACTCATTATGTCCAGCTTCCAGATCACCTGTAGACCAGGGTGATAGTGGTGGGAAGGTTGCATCCATTAACCATTCTGAGCACCATAAAAATGACTTAGAAAATTCTATCTATACAACTCCCACTCTTATTCCACCAAGCATTCTGCCATTGCTGCATGATCTAGCCCAACAAATGGTTCAAGCTGGTCATCAGCAGCAGTTATCCCGAATATACAGGTTAATTTTTCCTAATTTATTTATGCATATACTGTCTTTTCCTTGAAGAACTACCAAAATATTTTAAGGTTTCTTGTAATGCCAATGCCTCTTTGATTAATAAGAATTCATGGATTTTAAATGGTATTCCTTATGTGACACTAATTGGTATTTCATAGACTAATAATTGTAACAACACTGCTGACGTGCTCATTATCACTATTATCAAAATTTTTATCTATCATTGCAATTTAAGAAATTTATGTTTGAAATAAATTTGATACTCATTTCCCTCTTGGACTAGACATTCTTTATTTGCAATATCCTTCAATTGCTTAACAAATTTAACATTTTTATTCTTTTCAGAGAGACCCGATCTTCCATTTTGGAAGATAGTCTACAACTAATGGGAGTTGAAAAACTTAGCAAAGATGATGTCCAAAATATGGAGTGGGAGGTTCTAGCAGCCAAAATTGTGAAATGGGTTCATTTTATACGTATTGCTGTAAGTACTTTTAAGAATATGCAGAAATACTTAGGAATCTGTTTTTCCAACTAACTAGTCATGCTTGGACAGGTCAAACTCCTCTTCACTGCAGAAAGGAACATTTGTGATCAAATATTTAAAGGCTTTGATTCTCTTAGTGATCAATGTTTTGCTGAAGTTACAGCAAATAGTGTCTCAGTTCTTTTTAGTTTTGCTGAAGTGATGGCCAAAAGCACAAGAACACCAGAAAAATTGTTTGTTCTTTTAGACATGTATGAGATAATGAGAGAGCTTCATTCGGAGGTAATGTCAAATTGTCAATGCCACAAATCCTCATATCATGTGCTAGGGTAACAACTTACTAAAATAAGGCCAAGGAAGAAGATGATAAAAAAGGTTGATCATTTTAAACTAAATATGAAAATTGTTGTGTAGATTGAAGCACTTTTCAAGGGTAAAGCATGTACCAAGACTAGAGAATACGCATTGGGCTTAATAAAGCAACTTGCACAGACAGTACAGGAGACATTTGGTGATTTTGAAAAAGCAGTTGAAAAAGATGCATCAAAAACTATTGTATTGGATGGAACTATACATCCATTGACTACCTATGTCATTAACCATGTGAAGTTTTTGTTGGAGTAAGTTCAAATGTCTATACTTTTTATCTTTCATGAACTTTTGTAGATGAAACATTCAACACTTGCCATACCGAGTATAATCTGATTATCTGACAAGATGCTGGTGGTTGAATTGACAATAATTTAATACATGAATTTCTACAGCTACCAATCAACATTGCAACAATTATTTGAGGAATTCGAGAAAGGAGACGAGATAAATTCTCAGTTATCTTCTGTGACAATGAGAATTATGCAAGCTCTTCAAACAAATTTGCATGGAAAATCAAAACAGTATCAGGATCCTGCTTTGACTCACTTATTTCTCATGAACAATATTCACTATATGGTCAGATCCGTTCAAAGGTTTGTTGTGCATCTTAATTTTTACGAACTTACTTTTAAGTGTACAAATTTGTCTCTGCATGCAAAACTTTTGCTTCATAATCTCTTATTTTTAGGTCTAAAGCCAGAGATCTCTTAGGGGATGATTGGGTTCAAAGACATAGAAGGATTGTGCAACAGCATGCAAATCAATATAGAAGAAATGGTTGGAGAAAGGTATTTGTCTATTAACCTAACTAAATAACGCCACTACATGGGGGATGCATTTTTGCTTAGTGGCTTTTGTTGATCTTATAGGCCTTAATTGGGTGGAATTAATCTAGAAAAAGGGAAATAAAACTACCCTGATCTTTCACAATTTTCTCATAATCTTATAAGATGGAAAATTTTACTCAATCCATAATAAGTATGACATCATGGCCTCTTTTGGAAATAAGCTTTGTTATACTCAAATGTTTCCTTCAATGTTTGGTCAAGTACAACTTACATTTTGTCTCAATGAGTTTTTGATCCGTAGATTCTCCAGTCTCTCTCCATACAAGCGCTGACTTCATCTAGGGGTGGTAGTGCTAGCGTAGTAGGTGCTGACATCGGAAATAGTAGTGGAGTTTCAAGAGCATTGGTTAAAGAAAGGTTCATATATATTAGCTTGAACCCCAAGATTGATCTTTTAATCTTTTAAAATAACTTCCAGATATTGATTCATGCTTCATATTTATCCAAAGCCTTCTGATGTTGATTTAGAAGTCCTCTATATATGTATCAGGTTTAAGACATTCAACATGCAGTTTGAAGAGCTTCATCAAAGACAATCCCAGTGGACTGTTCTAGACATAGAGTTAAGAGAAAACCTTAGGCTTGCGGTTGCTGAAGTCTTGTTGCCAGCTTATAGATCTTTCCTAAGACGTTTTGGGTATCACATCTGTTTACCCTAATAGTTGTACATATATGTGACATCTTTTGGGGTCATCTTTTTCAGATCATCTAATTCCAAAATATAATCCATGTTAAATATATTTGTGATTATATTTTGGTTTTTTGTGTATTACAGACCTATGGTTGAGAATGGGAAGAATTTGCAAAAATACGTTAAATACACAGCAGAAGATCTAGAACGAATGTTGGATGAATTCTTTGAGGGGAAGAATCTGAGTGAGCCGAGGTTATAGTTTGGATCTCTTTCTCCATTGTGGAAGCACAATATATACCAATCAACAGTGGCTATATCTCTCCCCAGCTAGAAAAATGTTGAATAAAATAGGTTATAATAATGATGAATGTGTGTATCTACGATTCAAGATTGACAATAATAAGCACCTGAATGTGTCCTTTTGCAAATGCCATAGCGTGGTCTAACATAGGTATTACTAATGGTGTGGTTGTGTAAATAATATTAATGGTTTATAAAAGAAAGTGTTTGTCCTAAAAAGATTTTTACCCAAATCGTGTCATTTTGGTGGCTCAAGAAAGTTAGACAAGAGTGAGTCTAGCATTTTAAGACTAGTTTGTATTTTGTGTAAAGCTTTCAGTCATCATGAATGGTTTTCTTTAATGATTTAGTTTCACATGTAAATCTTATATAAATGATTAATCATTAATTTTTAAATTTAATAATTTGAGAGGTATTATTAATATCATATTATTTTTTTTTTATTTTTTTAATACAATAGTAAAACTCAAACTCTATATTTCAATTAGGGTGAGAATGCTTTTTGTAATGATATAAATGACCACTAGAATATGAAGATTTTTCAATATCACACTATTATTTTTAACTATTAAAAATAAAATATATAAAATTTATTTATAAGTTAATCAATCATTCTCAGTTTCTTTATATAGAATTCTCACCGTAAGAACTACATTGACACAAGATAAAAAGTTATAAGTTAATGTAGACATTGCATCAACATCAGAGGTCGAAGTATAATTTTATCTAAAGTCAAAGTATAATTTTATCTTAGAATTACATTTTTATCCAAAATCAGGCTATCCATATCCTCTCCCACGAATATAGTTCGACTACGTGACTGTATCCAAACAGCATCTCAACATTAAAAACCAGCCAACGAATTAACTAATTGGACAGGCAATTGCCACGTGGCATACCTAGGATCACGAATTTTTCATCATTTTCTCAAAACCGATTCTTTTCCAATTCCATGACCTCGCTCAGCACCGTTTGGCCGGCAAGAAAATTCCAGAATTTTCCATGGAGAAAGCGAAAAACTCAGAAGATGGATGTGCTTCTCTTTTCGTAGATGTTGGGTTTTGATTGTTTGTTTTCTCATCTTTTGCTTGTTTGTTTCTATTTGACGATAAAGACCAAATGGTTTCCAAGAGGGAACGCCAAGGCAAAGAAGCTTCCAAGGCGTACTCGACGAAGGGTGTCTCTGGTGATATAATTCCCCACTTGCTTAACTTGTCAGTTTGTTCTTCCTGTTCTCTAATAGACATCATATGCTCACTATATGCTCGACTGATTTTCAGTTTGAAAGTTGCAGCTTTAGTTTTATGCTTTTTTGTGAAGTTAAAGATTATAATTCTTTGGTTTTAGATTTAAGTTTGTTAAACTGGAGAGGAAACGGTTGGGTTTCATTTGATTTGCCATTCAGTTTTCTTATTACAATACTTGGTTGATTGCATTGTATTGCTCATTGTGTAATTTCTAATGGATTGCTTCAGATATGGATCTTGTGCCACACCACGCGACTTTGAAATCTATGCCCCAGATGCTACTTTTGAAGATCCACTTATGTGTGCTCATGGGTACGTTTTGGTCAAAATTTTGCATTAAAATAATTATGCCCATGATGTTAAATGAACCAGAAAGAGTCTGGGGAAACAGTTCCCTTATAAAATTTTGGAATTTTTTTTGGATAGAAAATAAAGTTTTGAATTTTATTCTGTGTGTGGGTCATCATGGATTTTAAGCAAGTGAACCACATTTTAGGCAATTGTTCAACTGTCACAGAGGCTTAGTGCCCTGACCTTGTCCTTCAAATCAAGAATTTAGAGTTAGTGGGTACCAGGTATTAACTGGGTTACGCTCAAGTTCACGGGCTAATTAGTTTTTTCTTTTAAATATTTAGTGGGGAAATCGATTGTACAGTAGCAGTAATAATTTCTATTTGATTGATTATAACATTTCTCTTTGTTTCATCTTTTCCAGTAATCAGTGCTTAGTCCAAATTTTTGTATATTCTCCCTAATATTTATTTTGTAATTGTTTGAATAGGGTGAAGCAGATCAAATCAGCATTTTATTCACTTTCCAAGGTTGCATCAACTACTTGTGTCAGTTATCACTGCATTAAGTATTGCAGGCCTTCTCTGCATGATTATTGCATATGAATCATGTACTTGAACTCTTATAACATAAATTTTTTTTTTTTTCTGAGCCAGATTTTTAGTGAATCAAGAATAGTAGATTATAGTGTCAAAGAAAATGCAATTTCAGCTGGAAAGCAAGAGGTTTGAAATTTATGGCAACTCCGTTAGAAGTCATCTATACTTAGTTTGTTTGGGTTTCTTTATCAGCATAGAGGTTAATTTGATGCTCCTTATTCGGGATCCAGATATTAATTGACAACAAGCAACAATACAAGTTCATGGGAAGAAACATAGACATGATATCTCTCATCAAGCTGTATGTTGAGAATGGGAGAGTTGTTCGTCATGAAGATTGGTATTCATTTATATCCCAAGTTTACTTATTGCTGAATATTGAACAATTTCCGTAGAGAAATCTTTTAGCAAGGGAAAGTGCTTTGACTTCTGATTTTGAGGCTAAGTTGTTAATGAATGCTTAAATGGGTGATATTTCTATTTGAACCATGATGTTTAACTGCATGGGATGGATAATAACCAATGGATCCTTATAACCAAATTCTGCATAACTTTTGTATAGGTGGGACAAGAAGCCTATTTGGAATAGGGAAACAGTTAAGCTGCCACTTGTTGGCCGAATGTTGGAAATGACTCGCAGGGGGTCTATGCTTGTAACTCATGCTTTGATGGGGTTTGGGAAGGATCCTACCATGTAAGATCAATTCCAAGACCAGAAAAAGAAAATGACAACTTTGGATCCTCCCAATGTTGGATTTGTGAGTAATAATAAGCATCCATTGGCTGTTTACTTGTACTTGAGATTGAACGATGTAACATAACACTTGGATTAATTCTTTAAAGTGGTTCTGTTTATGAGATGTAAACCATTACAATTAGAATATGATCCAGGAACTATATTATGCATATAAAAAATCTGTCTATATGGCACATTGATTCTATATTATTCTGATAATGGGCATGTAATGCTTCTGTCTTACTGATGAAAATCTCCTTAGATTTCCTTTTTCAGTTTTTTTTTCTTCTCTTTAAAGAAAAAGAAAGCTCCATTCACATGTTGGAAAATTTGACTGAGTCATTGGGCAGGTGAGGTTAGTTTGAAAGTAGTGTGAGTACCAGCCCCAGCACTCAAACAAAAAGTTACTCTCTCCTAAAAATGCTTAAAGACTAGGACCACAAGCAATCATTGAAAGCACCACCACATCAGGTACAATATTTCATCACAAATTCTTGTTAACTTTCATGCCAACTCCTCTTTTTGACTGGTCGTTTCTCCCTATGCATTCTCCATCCTTTTTTTTATAAAAACCTAGCAGTCTTTGAAGGATCCAAGGCAGCATTCTTCAGGTGATGATAGAAAGAGAGGGATATGATTCAATTATTCACTGATTATTGGTGTTTGAGATCCGAGAATTCCCTTACTTTCATGCAACATTCACTTGTAACAGAAAGAACAAAGCATTACCTTTCTTTTCCTAAAGACTGCAAAAGCCCAGTCTGTGGAAACTTTGTCTCCATGCCATTCCTTTTCTGCAGAGACAGGCTACCCTCTCTTATCCATGCCTCTCTTAGAAAGTATTGAGGTGTGGAAGCTTGTCTTGGGTGGAGGCTGTAAGAGAGTAATGAAAGCAAAAAGGTGAATTGCCTTTGAAAAGTTTGTACATTTTGATGGCTTTTGTGCATTGATGACCCTAAAAAGAATAACATTAGTGCGCCAATGCTTTTTTGTACTTCTCTTTATTTCCCTATCCTTTTCCCTTTTCCTAATTTGAAATTATTTGTAGATCATGTTCAAAGATATTCATGTCTTGAAAACGGCTAATCTCTGATATTTCATTTTTCTGATAGATCCTAATATCAGCATGAGTAAAAGCTCATCTTTTCATGCATTATCATCTTGAAACTTCTGTGACAACACTCATTTTTAAGTTGTTCGAATAGTGCCCTCATTTTTTTTTCCTTCTACAATGAACACTTTATACTTGATAGGCATCTAAGGCATGTGCTATGTTGTTAGATATACAATTGTTGTCTTTGTGCTGCTTTAAATCATTGAAGGGTTAAGAGGACAGCCTTGTAACCTAGTAACTACTAAATTCTTGTAAAAGCCTTCTCTTGCTAACTTGAGGTGTGAGGTTTGAGTTTTACCTTCAACATTTAAAAAAAAGAAAAAAAAACAAATCATTGAAGGGTTGAGATTAAGTATATTGCTCTTTTGGGAAGAACTGACCCTGTGTGCTCTTGCAGGCTTGAGTTACTATGTAACAAAATCTAATTCGATTGTGGCAGTTGATAAAGCCGGGCAAAGATGAATTAGGACAACACTTGAACCAAGGTTTGATCTTACCAATAATTTTGTCTTAGAGAATGTTTTATTATGTCGGTTAAGCCAAAAATTATAAATTAGTCAAATCAATTCAGGTAGCCTCTTTGCAAAGCAATTAACTTAGGTTGAGACTTTGAAAGAGAATAAGGGGAGACGTGAAACTAACAAGAAAGGTATCACAATTGGAAAAAAGAAAAAGACAAAAGGATGTGGAAAAAGAGAACAAAAGAAAAAACAAAAGTTAAATTAAAGAAGAAAGAGAACCAACATTTTTCAAAAAGATGTTGGTTTTAACCTTAGTGAAGTTGTTTACAGTTGGAATTAGTATACTAGCTTGCATAAAACAAGAAAATAATTCAAAAAAAAAAATAATGCTTAGTATTATAGCATCTTGAAAGGTTTTCAATGGAAGTTCTTGCAATCATTTACCACTGAGAAACCCTTTTGGAATGTCCTTTAATTATTTAATCTCTAATGGGAACTGAGCTTGAAGGTGTTGTCCTCATGTGATTACAAAATTATTGTGCCCTAAGGAAGAAAGAAAAAGAGAATTAGGGCAATGATGGATCTGTATGTATAGATAGATTTTTTCACTCTCGTTCTGCCATGCAAGAGAGAAAGTCGTCTTTGTTAGAAACAAATTCACCAGGCTATCGATTACTTACAACCAAGGCAAAGAATAATGCTCTAAATATATGCTCTTAATGTTCTACTTTCTCTTTTTCTCTTACCTTGTCTTTTCTTTCTTTTCTTGATAATATACAGTTGAAGTTGTTGAACTGTGTTTGTTTGTTTCTTTTATTAGAGAAATAACGACCATACAGATTTGGAGAAGCTTATGTATGCTTAAGAGTTCAGATTACTAAATATATTAATGCAAGAACATGTAGATATATATGATTATTCATGTGGCTTGTGAGGAAAATATCAAAATAATATTCCTTCATTAGAATAACAGGATAGAGAAAAGTTAATAATATTGATTAATAAATAAGAGCATCAAGCTAATAATTGAATTGAGTATGGGAGAGAGGCAGAGAGAGGTGAGGCATTAGTTTCAAAAATATCAGTGATTAATTAGGTACAATATTCGTTAATTCACAAATACATGTTTAATTAGAGGGTTCTATATGCATTAAAGTTGTAAAGTTGATGTTCCTTTTATGATTCTAAAGTAGCAAACATCTTTTTATGGTCTAAAGATATAGATTCTGCTTGTTCTATATTCATCTTCTTTTTAGGGCTTTTTGATATATGTCCCGCCGATACTTTTCAAAGATGGGAATGTTAGGTTGTAAATGCAGACTGATCAATAATAAAATATCAGGCATCAATTTCATGATAAAAAGTTAAAGTTATGTTCTTTCTAATAATTCTTGTAGAAGAATTTTTCATTTTTTTTCCTTCTAAAGCACTCATTCCTTTGCTCAATCCTCACGGTATGCACCAAGTCTTTTACTTTCTTGATTTGTTGTTGAGGAAACCTCATTTTTAGGAAAGACACATGTATGCTTTGATCAGATTTCTAATGTTATCTTGAAACTATAATGTTTGTAGGATTTCTAGCATTATTTGCTTGCTTCCTTTAGATCTTCAAATTGAAATCAGAAAACCCCACTTATCAAAACAATAATTAGAAGTGAAAAAACCCTGCATTATATATATGTAACAAAAAGAAAACTTTAAAAGATACAGTGTTCATCATGCAAACCTAGCTAACTTACTAAAATCCTGTCATACCTCCCCTGTTAGTTTGAATTCTTTCTTTCCCTCTCCCACAAAACTACCACACAAAATACAAATCAAGAAAAAGAAGAAATGAATTCCCACCACAGAATCTACAATTTAATTAATCAACTCTCTCCCACTGTTCTTGCACTCTAAATATGGTTTGCCTATCAACAAACTCCAAAATTCCAATTTTGCCACATGAATCTTCATTTTGGCCACATGAATCTTCAACGGCCATATTCAAATCTAGAGAGACACCTGCACTTTTCTCTACCATATCTTCCTTCCAATCCTTTTCTTCGGTCTCATCAACTTTCCGCCGTCTGTGGGGTGAACATGCTCTTGTCACAGAACTTAAACTTTCACAACTGAAAATGATAATGGCATCCTTAAGAGGAACTGTACTGTTACCAAGAGGAAGTGTCACTTTTCCACCTTCCATTGCTTGCCTGATGCCCCTTCTAGAACAACCATCAACTTGTTCCAAGTCTTCCAATAAAAATACTCTGTGAGGATTCTCATTCAATGCTTCGCCAAACCTTTGAAGATAACTTCCCCCCCGTTCATCTCTCATCCTCTTGTTAGATCCTTCATCAGTTAAATCTGTTCTTGTCGATGATGAGAAATTGCTCAGACCTATTGAAACAAAGCTGCTTTGAGAACAAAAAACGAGTCTGGCTAGCTCCCTTGCTATTTTCTGTTTGGCTTCAGAATCAGCACCTGAGAAAAACAACCAAGTTTCTTCTTTCTTCTCTCTGTGCTTTATCCAGTTCTTGCTTTTGCTTGTTCCGGACCGACATTCAAGAAGTGTGCTAACTATTCCAGGAATGACCTCCTTCTGCCATGGAACCTTTTTCTCCAACGCATTACATAGAATGCTCATGTTCTCAGCATTAACCTCCTTGAATCCATAAAGCTCATCAGCATCCTCCTCTATTGCCTCACTTGTTGAAGCTGAATTTGGGCTAGAGTTAGGATTTGATAAGAGGTCTGGCTTAGGGTCAGTTACTGTTTGGACCTTGTAGCCTTCATTACTACTTTCAAACATCAAAAACTGGTGTTCTTTGGGTGACTGTTTTGGTTCAAAAATGACTGGCCAAGTATTGAGTTGGGGCTGATGGAGGTTTTTGTTATGATCTTGAGAGGAGACTGAAGTTGAGGGAGAAGGAGATAGAGAAATATTAAGATGTTCCTCAGTGTTGTAGTGGTGTTTGTCAACTGAACCAAACAGATCCCATTTCTTGTAAAGATCCTTCACATTGACATTTGCCTGGTAGATTAAAAGTACAAAGATAGAAAGGAAAGTCAGATATGCTGACTAGTGACTAGTATCTATATGATGATAATATGATAGTGCAAGAAGATAAGAAAGAAACCTGATCATTGGCAGTATTTGTTTTGCGTTCTTCCTTGTACTGTTGCAACCACGAAGGCAAGCTTGAGCTGGCAGAAAAGATTTTTGTAGCTGACTCCTTGTTATTGGGACTGCTCATAGTGCTTTGAGCGTTCCTGCCAAAATTAGAGAAAAGACAAAGAGTGAACTATTAACTAGGAACACATAGGGAGAAGAAAGTGAAAGGTAAAACAAGCCATTTTCTTTAAAAAAAAATTGACTAATATTGAATTTACCTGTCAAGAGTCAGACTAAGGTTCAAGCTGTCAGCTGAAATTGTAACAGGATGAAGTTCCCATATTGCCTCAAGAGAAGAATGCCCTTCTTTGCATCTCATGTAAGTCTGGAAAGTTGAAATTCCCAGAAGAAACAATTTTCCAGCACTCTCCCTAATTCCACACACTATTCTTTTAAGCTCCATGATTATGTGTTCGACGGGACAGTAGTAACTTCTCCTTCTTTCACCATAGGTTGACCAAAACTCAGAAACCCATTTGAGATCACCCAAATACAAGACGATCCCTCTATCCACGTAACTCTCCACAAGGTACCTAAGCTCCATAAGCTTTTGCTCCACCTCATCCTTGGGGCGATTTCTCAAAGAGAAGAGTGGAAGGTTGATGAACTGAACGTACCTTAAATCCCCAGGAACTTGTCCTTTCTCAGACTTATCCATCACCCCTCTAACTACAGCCTCGGCAGTAGCTAGACACTCTCCCACGATTATAGTGTTTCTCCTTTTGTTTACTATGGAGTTCAAAACATTTGTTACATCCTCATTCCTAGCATGATCTAGTGGTTTGCTGATTGACAAACTAAAGTGAGTATAAGCTGAAGATCGAGACAGATCAGGTCCGAGGAGTTGAAGTTTGGGGCTTTCTTTGGTCTGGCAACCCATAGGAGTGGTTTGAGAGCAAATCTCAAAGGAAACAGCCTGCTCCACCTTGTTTTTTACTTGGCTGCTAGAGAAACCAGCTTCCCTCATGACTCTACTAACACTGGGGTCATCTAGAATAGAGATAATGAGGTTTTCTAGTTCTATCTTGATAGCTAAAATGGGCTGTTGCTGGTTCTCAATAGAGCCCCGGCGTTGGTGAGCCTGAGCACGCTTGAAGGCAGCAACCAAGGCATTGGAGAGGGTAGTATGATGGGAGTGAGGGCCCAACAGAGGAGTTGATGCAGATGCAGGAAGACGATTAAGTGCAACATTGAAGCAAAGCTCTAAAGCTCTAAATTGGAGAGGGTGAGAGTGGGATTGAAGGCAAGCCTTCCGAAGAAGACCAGTAGAGCATGCAAGCATAGAACTTGCTACATGGAGAGGAGTCACTTGAGCATGACCTCGCCGTTTAGCAAGACTCACTGCTTGCTTCACTACGCTTGCAGCCTCAGCAGTAAGAGTCTGCTGCACAGTACAAATTCCTGCTCTCATCTTCTACAAACTCACTAAATCTCAAAGATTTTGGCTAGGGAATTCAAGGTAATGATCAAAAACTACACTCTGGGATTGTTGGTGAGTTTCATGTGGATAACTATTTAGTCAAAGTTCTAGTATGAATATAGCAGTATAAGGTAGCTTATGTGGTTGTGGGGAAGCAAGGGATATATTGAGGGATTGGGATATTATAAGAAGTAGAGGGGTTATGCTTTTCTTGTCAGTGAGGCAAAATTTTAGTCTTTGCAAGTGTGAAGTGGTTTGCATGTGACGTAAAGGGTATGTGGATAATCAAAAAGCAGAAGTGCGTCTTTACATTACATAAGTATGTATATATATATATATTCAATTTAAAGCACTAGATTTGCTTTAGCCTTTGAGCAGTATATATATGTGAATGGAATAAATAAGCACCCTTTTTTTTTTTTTCAAAAACGAGGAGGTGAGGAAAAGAAGGTAGGACTGTCGGTCTGTTGGGAGGGAATGCGAAGTGGCCAAGTGGCAGTTCCCCTTTTTTTCTTTTTTGAAGGCTCTCTCTTGCTCTCTTCTCGAAGACTATGAATAATGCATTTTATGATTGATTATGAATCTAAGGTTCATGACACTTTAGCAATTTTTATGAGAAATTATGTTGTAAATTGCACTTTACTCGTTGGATTGAGTGAGTTTTGTCATCTTATTAACATATAGTTTTTCTTCTTCTTTGAAATTGAGTTCTAATCCTCATGATACTTTGTTCAAAAAAAAATTTTGTTGTAAATTAAAGAGTTTTATATCTTATAATTTATATCATATCAAATTATAAAATATAAATCATTAAATGAGAAATAATTTTTAAGATGAACATTTGTTTTTTATCTAATAATTTTGTATTTTAGTCTAAATTGTATAATATTTTTTAATAACTTAAAATGCAAAACATTCCCTATTTTTCTCCACTCTTTGTGTAGCATATAATAATATAAAGTTGCTTTGTGGCTTTTTCCTTTCTCATTTCAAATTTCCCAGAACATGCTCAGGAATCATGAGCACACGATACTATGTAGTTTCTAGGGCCTTCTGAACTGGGCCTTAAATGTCCAATCGGAAGAGACAAGGTTTATAAATGAAGGTATGAAACCCACGTAAATGTGGCATTAGGCTCAACTAGCAAAGACCATCAAATGTCAATGTCTGCCCATTATCACCTTTGGGCCTTTAACAATCGAATCCAAATCACCTTCAGGACTTAGGGCTCAGGGCAAGGGCCAAGACACAGAGGGAGAAAGAGGGTGTTACCATGTTAGCAAAGCTTAAAAACGCATTCGTTTTAAAATGTAAATTCAACTTTTATAAATTTAAATTTTTGTTACACAAAATTTTAAAAGTTGATTTCTAAAGATGTATTTAAGTAAAATTTGAAAAAACTTGCATTTCTCTTACAAACTCAAAATTTTATGGGAGTATATTTGTGTGAAAAAATTCTATTTAATTTGATTCTAAAATTAATTATGCTATAAATCAAATAAATTAGATTTAATTGGAACAATTTTATTTTCATTTATATATATATAAGGATTAATGGTTATTTGGCTTATTTCTTAAAAATTAAGAGAAAAATTAATTTAAAACTATATCGTTTTAATAAAGTATAAGAAAAAAAAGATCAAAAAGAGTTTAATTCATATTTTAAAAAAATAGATATTTTAGTTTTTTTCAATGAAAGTTTATTAAAATAATATGCTTTCAAAGTGATTTTTCTTCTAATATTTGGAAGGGGAAGGCAAATGGATACTATTCACACACATGTATAATATAGAATAGTGCGTATTAATTTTGATTTTTATTAAAAAAATTAGAATCTTAACTTCAAAAATATTACTTTTATTAAATATTTTTAAATTTTAATTATTTGATTTAATGTTCTATTAATATAAATCATGCATAAAAATTTCAAGTTGATTTAACATTTATAATCAGTCGATTAAGAATCTTGTATAATCTAATTATATTTATCAATGA